GTACCGACCTGCTGCCTTCATCTTCCTCATCCTCGCCGGCAGGCGGAGCTTCGGCTGTCAGGTCCGGGCTTCCCTTCAGCTGCTCCTCTTCCTCCTCCTCCTCTTCCTCCAACTCCTCTGGAGCCTCGGCCTCCTTCTGGACGCGAGCCGGCCCGGCTGCCGGAGCGCCCCCCGCCTCTTCCTCCTCTTCCTCCTCTTTTATCCCGTCCTCGGTCGGGGGAGCAGCCTCCCCTTTTGCCACCGACTCGGCTTCCTCCTTGGCCTCCTGCTCCGCTTTATCCCAGGAAGCCGGCTCTCCGGAGCGGGCGGGACTCGGACTCTCGGGACCGAGCTCTTCTTCCTGTTTAGACGTTGGGCTGAAAAGAGAATGCCTGTTTGGACGTTTCCTTACTTTTTTTGTAAATCGCACCAATGCTGCCGAGGAGTCCGACAGTCTGAGCTGTTTTTCTACTCTATTGTCAAAAGAATAGAAGAGAGTAGTTTGCAGTTTGTGTCAAACGTGTCTGAATCCTCTGACCTTTTCCCGGCGGCTGCAGGAGATGTGGATCCTGGCTCAGAGACGGAGGAGCTGGCAGAGTCCTGATCCTCCACGCTGTGGCCCAGACCTGTGGGCTCCAGCGGGGAGGAGGACATGGAGACAGCGTGGCTCTGGACGTCCTCAGAAGCGTCCTCTCTGCTCACGGAGGAGCTGCTGTCGTCTGCCAGAGCACTGAGGACACATTCAACAGTTTAACACAAAAACTAAACGACAAACAGTCCACAAAAAAATCCGGTAAAGTGATAACTAAATGGATTTAACTGTCCACTACATGCATAAAGCCGTTTAAAGGAGGGATGATATCGGGACAACAAACAACTAAAAGTGATTGATAGCAACTATCAAAAGTTTTCAGTCTTCACGAAAAATTCTTGGCTTATCCATCGTTTTTGTGTTGTTGTTATGAGATCTGTTTTAACACATTATTCTATGAGGTCAGTAGAAGTAAAATCAGCACCTATCCACTTTTTGTAAAGTCCTCACCACAGAAAGAAATACGACAAAGTGTGTGGACGGTAAACAACCAGGAATGTGTGACAGCAAAGGCCAACCGCTCTGTTTAAATAAATGAAAAACTTGCTCCCCGTTGACCTTTAAAGCTTTGAAACACACAACCCTGTGTATCAAAACGTGGAAAACGGGTTGGAGTTAACATCCACTGGATGAAATGTTTTCAAACGTGCCTCATTAAAATCCCCACACAACCCAGACCTCTTTTTAACGCATCGTTTAAAAAACGAGCGTCCATCCCTCAGCCTGCTCCCCGGCTGATCTTTTTTTTAGGATAAATGAGCTAAAACCAGCTCTACCATGCCATTAGTTACTTAATGAAAGCCGAGCAAAAATGCAAGAACATGTGGGAGAAATCTCAGCAGTGAAAAACTGAAGGAAAATAAAGCCAAATCGGATTTTTTTCCGGGGTTGCGTCAGTTCACAGAGTCCATTTAGCCCCACCACAGTGTCTAAAACCAGAGTTAAATCTGGATCTCCGCTGCACCTTGATTTATTTTTAGGCGTTCTGTTGCCCGTTTGCTGCTGTGTTTGGGATCATTGTCCTGTTGCATAACTCAGTTCCTGCCATTTGTTGGACATGAGGCCTCTCATTTGAGAGCAGAAGACACTTTTTTAAAGGGTCATGCTGGGAATTATTTGAACCAGGAGCATTTAACTAGTTGATCATTCACATCCTGCTTCTGCATTTTAGTTTAATTTTTTAAACATATCAGATTACTTTTAAGTCCAAATGATCTTTGCTAAGGCGTTAAAAGATCTGACTCGGGTTGTGCTCCCTTTTTTTCTCACATACTGTGTTTGGACTGAACCATGAATTATGAAATATGTGTTATTTTTTTGTTTTTTTCGCCTGTTAACTAACCTCCTCCGGGCCTCTGTGTTTGTGTCCTGGCTGACCGCAGCGGGCTGGGGGTTTGGCTCGGGTAACGCTTCATCTTCCCGCCGTAACGCCCCCGATGGTTTGGCGACGGCCCCGACGCGCTCCGTTGTCTCCGTCCGACCGCGGGGGGGGGAGGAGCTCTCTGACCAGGCCGCCGCTCCACCCGGGGGGCTTTCTCCTCCTCCTGATCCTGGGTCTGAGGCCGGGGAGACCTCGCTATTGGCCGTGGGATTTAAAGTGCACCGCTGGGGGTCGGCCGGGTCAGAAGCGGGCGTCATCTTCCCGTTTTCTTTGGGTTCGGATGCGTGGCGTGGAGAAGGCGTGGCAGTCTGAGTCTGGGTTCTCTCCCCCTGCAGAGGTCCATTTCCCTGAGAATTATTGGGCTCCGTCTCTCCGTCCTCCGCGGGACTCTGCTCAGTCTGTGCATGTTCGGCTTCCCCGTCAGCAGCTTTTCTGAGCAGGATAACACAGAACGAGCATTTTAACAGGGTACAAGCAAAAAAAGAAACAAAAAAACAAAACATCCAATAGTTTTAAAGGGATTTTCTGTACTGTAAGTGAAGATGAGCCAGGAAGACTTATATCAACGGAATTATTATTATTATTATTACCCATGAAAGCATGAAATGTCACATATATTTATCTTCCACAATCCTTTAACCCTGTAATGCCAAATGTATCATATTTGATACATACGGTTTCTGAAATGTTTTGCGTCTGACATCTTTTGCATAATTTAATGGTAAAAACTTTGCTCAAAATCCTATTGTACACAATCAGATACACCTGATAACAGGGGGCAGAAGACTACACAAAAATAATCTTGACTTATCGCATAGTAATAAATTATTAATATTAAAAACGTTTTCTTGTTTTTTCTTTTTGCATATTTTGTTAAAGGACCATATAAAGACTTAAAACCAAAAAAAAGTAATTTTCTGTTTTGTTTTATTCTTAGATCAGGCTTTAAAGGGTTAAATTGACCCCCCTCCTAATTTGTGATCTCAAATGAGGCACAATAAACTGGTGGGTACACTTGAAATTTTTCAAATCAAACGAAGACTTGGTAAACTTGAGATGCACGACATTAATGACAAGATTTTTTTCTATCCTGTCACCAGCCAGAGTGTCCTGACCCTTCAGCACTCAGTGTTATCCAAAATCTTTAGTCTTAACTCCATCTTACCTCATTTCATCCCCAGCTTCAGGGCCACAGGTTCCTTCCACCTCCACTATTCTGTCCCCTGTGCACGTGACCTCCGACTCGTCTTTCAGCAAACCGCTGCGCTCCTCCGCACTGCCACAGGGACTTTTAGGGGGACAGCAGCTGTTCCCCATCTGCTCGCTCCCTCTGCACGGGGGGGGGGCGGCCAAAAACGACCCGAAAAGTGGCCGGAGCTGGAAAACTTCACGGCTCCATGATGGAGTGTTGTTATCTGAAAGGTGGGAAAAGACCAGGGTTATTCTGGAAAACAGGAGAGGCAGCCAAAGGGAGAACATCAGGCACCTCTGGATGGATAAGCAAAACACTCCAATGCCGATGAAAGGTGTGATACAGGTTATCTGATATGGGGAATATATCTATATAGTGCAAAACAAATATTTACAGTACCCAGAAGCAGTTTTCTAGCTTTATTTATATCATTTTTAACCCCAATACACCCCAAACAAGGACAATGCAGGGAGTAAATGGGTGTATTTTGATAATAATAGTAATAATGATAACCAATTTTGTTTTGACCAAACAGTTTAAGTTTTAAATTAGCTGCTGCAGTCGTTTTTTTCCCCTTTTATTTACCCTAATACACCCCAAACAAGGACACTGCAGGGAATAAATGGGTGTATTTTGATAATAATAGTAATAATGATAACCAATTTTGTTTTGACCAAACAATTTAAGTTTAAATTAGCTGCTGCAGTCGTTTTCCCCCCCCCCCCTTTTATTTACAAAACAACGTCCTATTGTTGATATCAGCACATAAAAGCACAAAAAACATTAATGGAGACTCTTATATACTTAACCACAAATATCAGGGACGTCTGAAAACTGTCGTAACGAATACAACAAACACACCTGCTTTTAATTTGAGTCCCGGAGCCTAAAATCATGACGTTTCTGCTCTTCTTTCACTTTTGACGCGTCGCTTTTAGCCGGCTAGCTGCGCCCAACTTCAGCCCGAAAACCGGCGCCCGTACCGGGGCTGCGGCTCCGGGAGAAGCCCGCCGGTTCTCCGGTCTCTGCTCCGGTCTCCCTCGACGCGGCCCGCCCCGGTAAATCCAGCTGTTTGCGGTGGTTTCCGCCGCACATCTGGTCGCGGGGACCCCTAGCTTAGCCGGAGCAGCAGGTCACGGCTCCGTCCGATCGCGTGACGTCACATTCAAGTGCGACGACAGCTTTGAGGCGTTCAGGTGCCCGGAAAGAAACTCGTTATTTCCAAGGTCTAGAACTAGTGTCGGTATCACACCGCTTCCTTGTTATTTTCAATGTTTCTGACATAGATTGAGTGTACATGCCTAGGTAGATTTGAAAATAAATACATTGTTTTCCATTCTATTTGTTTAGTTCAGTGTTTTTCAACCACTGTGCCGCGGCACACTATGGTCAGGTGTGCCGTAGAAAATCATCCTATTTCACCTAATTGGTCTAAAAAGACTTTTTCATAAGGACTCAATATTCCATTTTTGAGTGTCTGTGCTGTTCTAGTGACCGGTGGCGTAATCATGTAATAATTCCTTATGACTAGATTTTGTATCTAATTTTGTATATTGAAGTGGACATGTTAAGAGCAATTTGAAAGAAGAAATATAAAATATGATAAAAATAAATGTTTGTGTTTATTTGATTCCTATTCAAGACACTTAATATAAGATAATAATAAAATAAGAATAACTTCAGTGTTACTATAGGCCACTACAGATTTGTTTAACATTTTTGGTTGGTGGTGTGCCTTGTGATTTTTTCTATGAAAAAATTTACCTTGGCTCAAAAATGATTGAAAAACACTGGTTTAGTTTAACCACAAAATGTCTATATGAGTGAATTTCCATTTAAGAACACAAGGCACCTTGATTATTTAACAGGATTTAGGTATTTATTTTCAAACATTTTCAAATTATATTTGATAAATCATCAATAAAAAATATGTTACATTATGTACATGAAATATTTATATCTTCAGCATAAAAAAAAAAAGTCACACTAAAAGCCGCTTTGTGTAACAATTCAAGTTTCGTGGCTCAGCAGCAGCGGGATGATGTGCCTGATCATTAAATGTTCCTCAGCTCGTCTATGTGTGCGAGCAGCTCTCGTGGCAGTCCCAGCTCCGACACCAGATCCTCACAGCTCTGCAGCAGGAGGTGCAGCCCCTCACCTGAGCCGGGGGGGGAAACGGCGTTCCCTGGACAGCTGCTCTGCGAGTGGCGTGGACGGTCCAGGTCCAGGTCCATGTCTCCCCCTCTCCCGCAGCAGTTCTGCTCTTTGCATCCCTCTGTGCCGCTGCACCGATCCGCCCGTTCCACCTCCAGATCCTCCATGCTCTCCGAAACGTCGCTGACGCTCGGGGGAGGATTCTCCAAAGCCTTTCTTATCCCGTCCGTGATCCGGTCTTCGTGCTGCGCCACGCGCTGCAGGAGCCCCGTCACAGAGGCCGGGACGGGGCTTTCTGGATGTTGGATCTGGCACCAGCACCATATCGCACTGTGACGGGGAAACACAAAAGGGGCAAACGGCGTTACACACAATGGCACAGAGAAGGGACTGGGGCAGGTGTCTGCCGGACAGAAAAGAGACTTCAATAGCCGCTGGAACAAAACACACTCAGGACGTTTCTCTATAGGCGATGCTTAAACTCTAGAGCATTTGACACCTGGTCTAAAGCTGTTACAGGTGAAAAACAGCATCTAAATCACCAGTAAAACATATCTAAACGTAATGAATCAGGTATTTTTTGAAAAACAGAACAATATTGTTGAAAATTTCTGACTTTTTTGCACATGAAACCATTTAATGAGATAATGAGTTGGACCTGTTAAGTAAAAGATTGTGGAAATATGCCCATTTCAGCCTCATTTAACAAATTCACGGAGTGTGTTTACCTTACTATTCCTTTGAGGCGGCCCACGGCCACAGTTTGAGCGGCTCCTTCTCTAAAACCTAGATTGAATCCGACCTGAAGCGACGCCTCCTCGCCGGCTTCCACTCCGTCCACGTAACCGTCCTGTCCACAACACCGGTAGCGTCATAAACCCACATTCACGGATAAAACTTAGCCTCAAGGCCACTGCCCACGGGCCAACACGAGCACGACACGGGACAGTCCGCGTTAACGGCCACAGAAACTTACATTTGACGAAAACAGTAGGTTTCGGGATCTGAGGCTAAAGACGGAGCTAAGCTAATGCTAATGCTAACGTTACCTTGACGCGTTTCTTCATGTTGGACGTCCATTCTTTAGTTTGTAAATTAAGGTCGTCCGCGTTCTCGTCGAACACATCTTCCCCACTGAAAGAAGCAGCTTTCACCCAAGACATCGTGAGATAAAGATAAATAATAACCTCTGTCTGCTGCTATGTTTTGGAAGCATCTGAACATCCACAGAGGCTGTAGCCAACTTTGCTGCTTCAGCAACAACTTCTCATCCACCTACGTCATCGATATGCGACACGTGGAGAAAGCACAAGTTAGATGGAAATTGTATTGCAGATTAAATTTATGGAAGTGCGGTCTTATAAAAATTATATATCATAAACTTCTGATTTTAGAATGACTTTCTAGGAATTTCTTCGACTGTTTATCAGAAAAAACGTGTTAATGCAAAAATAAACAGATGCCAAATTGGTTATACCATTCATTTTAAGAATACAGGTTGTTCTGAATAAATTTGCCCTTCTAGATAATGTCTAGAAATATCTTTAAAAGGTTTAATAAACCATGATATATTGATTCATTTTAATTTATTAATATTTACATTTTCTAAAATCTAGAATATACTTTTGGTGAATTTTTCTGCTGCTCTTGGGGTTTTGGGGTGATACACAGGGACTTTGAGTAAATCCAGGCAACACAATGAAGTTTCAATTCAAACTTGATTTAGGGAGGACTTTTCCTTTTACATGCACTTCTTCTCTGGTGTTTATCATTCTACAGTCCCACGTTCCAGCACTTGACAGATAAAACCTGCAGGTGGCACCGAAGCATCACTGTAAAAGAGAAGTGGATCTACAGTACATTATCATCATCATCCTCATCATCATCAGGTTAATGTATACTTTACTGTATTTTATGCCTTTTTGTTTTTTTGTTTATCCTCTCAATGGCAGAAATATTTATTTCTAGACCACTGATTTCTTTTGACTTGTTTCAAATTGGTGCAAATGTGATCTAATGTTAAAAAAAAGTAATTGCACATCTAAACATGTCTGTTTGCATGTTTAGCTTTAAGATGTTTAGATATTCAGAGAAAATATGAAACATATCCACACAATATTCTGTAGTTTTAGGATGAAACGTTAGTTATTGACCAGCCAGATAGTGTTTTCTGATTGGAGAACCTCCAAAGTTAGAATGAATAATGCATAAAAAGAACAAAGTAAATCTGTGTGTCATTTTTTGAGAAGATGACAATTTGTAGATTAAAACGACTGCATTCTGAAACATATCAGATTATTGGGACTTGGGTGTGGCGCGTGTATTATACAGTATTTAGAATGATCAATTGAAATATGAAGATATTAAATGAATCATTGTGCTACTCTTAGACAGATTATTCTGATGCCTGAGGAAAATAAGTCTTTATAAACCCATGAGTTAAACACAATTACACACAAAAATAAAGTTAAGAACATTGCAAATAGTCTCATAATTGTTTTCAATTGCATTAAGACATTTATATAGTTTATTCAAGATCTTTTTTTTTTTTTATACTGTCTGATAAGTTAATGTACTCAGAAATCTTTCCATACATAGGCAGTCACACCAATCTTTATATCCAGCAGTTCAAAGCTCTGTCCAGTGCACATTTACAGTTTTCTGTTTAAGTTTTCAACCTTAGAAATGTCAGCTGTCGTGACAAACACATTATTCACTCATCAATAATGCATCCCACCCCCCCCCTTTTTTCTCACTGTTGAGTAGAGAGGGGGAAAAACACTCCCCCCCTTGTTTTATTTTCAGGTTCTCTCATTTCTCATGCCATGCTTTATGGAAAACACAGGAGAGAGTGGACAGTGGGTAAATGCATTTCACCTTGGTGGTGGAGTGCATTTGCAGCCGTTGGACAACAATGGCCTTGAGAATACTCAGAGGCCACGCCGGAGTCGTCTCCGTCCTGGAAATGGAGTCGGGCCCAGAGGCCCCGGATGGGGGCGGCCACACCTTCGGTCCCCCTTCGCTCGAATCGTCCAAAAAAAACAACCAGCCGGAGCAATCACCTGACACATTTCCATCCAATTTCCACTGCAGAATGTGTTCATTTTCAGGCTAATGGCATGTCATTTTGCAGGAGCCTTTGGTCAAGAATTAATCCTGGAATCAAAACAGATTTTCCGGGGAGCAATCTTCCATCAAGTATTGATTTTTTTACACTCACGGAGCCTGTACTCCCTAATTTAACCTGACAGCCAGCAGCACAATGGAGCGGGAGCACCTTGGCGTCTCACAGAGGGAGCTCTCCTCCTCCTCCTTGTCTCCATAAGTGAAAGAAAGATTGGAGGAGTGGGGTGGGGGGGGTGGGGGGGGCTCCCAGATGTATAAAACAAAGAGCATTGCTTACAAAAAAACAGACAGATAAAGCTTCCGTCTCTCTGTTTTTACCTCTAATTATATTTTCGGGGATAGTGCAACTTGGTGCAGGTGAGGCTGAGAGGGAAGAGGGGAGAGTGTTCGGGGGCCATCAGCTATCATTATGTGCCTGTTGACATCTCCCTGTCTTTGAGTGATTCTCATCTGTGATTTCCCCCGGCCATTTTCCGCAGATGCACCGAGAGGGGTTTCATCACAGCCCCATAAAAAGGGCCCAAAGTGTCCGTGCAGGTCCTGGCTAATAAGAAAGCAGAGATGTGTACGGCCATGTCACTCCTCTCCCATCCACATCGGCTCTCGATGCCTTCAGATATGCAATCATTCTCTTTCCATCCCTTCTTCCTCTCACCCTGGCCGTGCGTACGGGGTGTAAGTACGCTGTACCCTATGCAGGGGTCAGCGGGATGAGAGGATGATGGAGGCCACGGCCGGTTATTTTCCCTCCGGCTCTTAAAGCCGTGATGACCCGAGTGCAGGAGTTCCACTTTGCCAAAAGGCTTTTTTTTACCATGTACTGCTTACAAAAACTACCCAACAGGAGGACAACTGTTTTCCGTTTGTTTGCCGCTCCTAACTTCTAATCACCCGTGTCAGGGAAAATGATCCCGTCACCTTTAGAAGATGATTAATGCACTAAGCTCACAGAGGATCTCAAATAACTACAGAAACCTTCACAGGCAGAATAAAGTCTTAATCCACATCTTCTTCTGTGTGATTAGAAGACTGTTCTTTGCGTATTCTGTTCTTTATTTATTTATTATCTATTCATTTTTCAGGCTGGTGAATGAGTTCTTATATGTAAGAACTGTAAAATGCTATTAAAATATTCAAATGGGGAGATATGAAGATCCAAATACTCTGCATTAAAACAAAACAGTGGGCCATTGCGTATATTTTGTGGATAAAGCTGATATTTTTCAAATAATTATGTCACGTAACATCTCATAATATCACGTTTCAACAGCCACAACAGATTTTCTTTCCTCTGTAATCATGATTTATCCACACCCTCTGGTTCTGCTTAATCATTACTGTCATAAGTAATCCCACAGCCTAAGAGCTCAGTGAATATTTCAGAAAATCTCCTATCAAAAGTTTTGAATGTGGCCGCACGTATCCCATTTTAAAAGAGACAAGAATACAATACTGCAGAGAACAGACTGAAAATCAAACCAAACCAAACCAAAAGTCTTCCTGGTATTTGCTTAGGAAAATTCACCACAATGCATCTGGTCTTAACAGTTACTTCTTACTGGGAGCCATCATGTGGACTAACCACACTTTCTGAATTACTCTTAAACTAGGATATTCTTGTACAGATTCTGAAGCATTCATTGGTAATTTGAACTGGACAGCACACAACAACAACAAGGTCTTAAGATATGAGATGGTTAATAGATGCTAAGACCTCTCGTCATGGAGGCAGATTTAGGCACATGTGTGGTTATTGTCTGCACATTTACTAATACTATGAATTACCTTTATTTCTTCTCTGTTTTCAGAGACAGACAAACAAAAAGCACCCAGTACTTTTATGTTCTTGTGCGATGTCAATGCAAACTGAAGACCTTCTCACACAGGCCATTCTGAGGGAAAATCAACACACCTCAACTGAGAAAAGGCATAAGAATGAACCAATTCGATTTTTATAATGTGCATTAGCGAATGTAAAACTCCTTTTCTTTAAGTGACGCTGTGAAATAATAGGTAGAGGCGTCCCTCTGGGTATGGATAATGGATACCTTTTTTTGTCCGATGGCCTTTTTTTGTGATGTCTGCTGAATTCTGTGGAAATGTGTTTGTATGGCCAAACTGAAATGGAGCGATATGGATAGTTCTCTTCGTAAACTCCACCTGAGCGATGCTAGTGGGAGAGCAGGTGTGCAGCTGCAGCCTCTCACCAGTTTGGGTGGGATTCTTCGGGAAGAGAGGGGCCATTAGACAACAGAGACATCATCGCCTTAAGGAACGCATCGGAAAACCGGGCCCGCGACAAAGTTAAACGGATTATGGGGTAACGCAATCAGCTTCTAGAGTCAGACAGGTGTCCCCCCGTAAAGACCCGGGCTATTAACTCCTCCACCTGCAGATTCCTCGCTGTGTGTCGTTGCTAATAATGCCGAAAGAGGACGGGAAAAGCAGAAAACAAGAGCGAGAGCAAAGGGGATCATATGCATGGCCGACCTGGATTGCACGTGAGGATTGGTAATTGCCCCCCCAGAGGCGTTCAGGGTGTGCAGATGCCGCAAAAGTGGGGAAACGCCTGAGCAGCTCGGGCCTCTCAGTCAGTGTACAAACATCTCAAGGAGTGAAAACAAGAAGGCGGAGGAGCGGAGGGGGGTGAGGGATACGCAGACAGTTCATTTACCCCGAACATCGGCCCCGCCGCATATCGTCTGAAAGATAAGGGAAGCGAATGCTTCATGCCTGATGGAAAACAAAGGCGGCAATTTAAAACCATCTGCATCCAACAACGTGCAACCCCTCTCCCCCGCGCCCTCCTGTTTTCTGTGTCCTGACTGATATTGAAACATAATCCATTCGGAGCGCCGACGTGTCATTATATTTCTATTCGGCCCCCCTTTTTTCTCCATTCAGGACAATTTCAGGTGCTGGCGGGTTGAGCGGGGAGTGTTTCATTTCAACAAGTCAGACGTTCTTTACCTTAGCAGAAAACACACGAGATGGAGGAAAAAAAGAAGCGGAGTTGACTTTAAATCCATCTAAAGGAGACCTTGGGTTCTCCTGTTGGTGGTGGCCTCTGCAGGTTAAATAGAAAAACTAAAAAAAAACTAAACAAAACCAATGAATCACAAAGATTCAGAGATCAAAATTCGTCTCATACCACACAGGCATGGAGGC